GTCCCTAGGCTGGGTGGGAGCCGCCCAGGCTTACCTCCCGCAGCCCACCCTCAAGGAGGCCCTCCTGGAGCTAGGGGAGAGTCCAGTGAGGCTGGGGACTGTGGGCACCGGGTCACCTCGGGGCCTGAACGGCAGGGACAGTTGGAAATGGCGGGGGAAAGAAGTGGTCTGATCGGGAGGGGAGAGAAATTGGGCAGAGAGGAATGGTGAGGGCTCTGACCACTCTGACGTTGAGGTCGCAGGGTCTTAGGGCCTGGCTGGGACCCCTCCCCCTACGCTGGCCCGCGGGCAAGCTCAGTTGGAAACCGAAAAGTCACTCTTCTCTGGGCTCCCCCTTCAGTGACTCCAGCGTCCTACCTAGTGCTGGCAGGAGGGTCAAGCGAGGAGGAAAACCTGTGGGCTGCAGGTCGGGTCTCAGGAATCCGGAAGAAACGACATTCACAGATAGTCTTCTTTTGTGTGTTTTTTTTTTAAGAGAGTGAACTCCCCTCCTTGGCATAGTGATTGAGTGTAAATAACTACGATTATTTTATGTTTCTATTTCATGGAGTTAAAAAAAACTACCTGAATACCCCTGCTAACCAGAAGCTTTAGAAGAAAGAAGTGTCTGCTTTTGCTTGAAAGCTAGTCATCCGCCGCCTTGCCCAGGAGTGACCGGGGGCGCCTGCTCCCCAAGGCTGGGGGCAGGAACTACAGGTGCTTTCCTGAGGTCTCGTTCTGGGGCTGAGCCCTGCAGAGAGCCCTTGACTAATCAGAGGCATCCTGTCAGTCTTGACTGGAAATTGAAAGAAAATAATGTTTAAATATTTATGACTTTGACATTTACAGTCAGGCGTCTTTCAAAAGCGGAACGCCTCCTCTGTACAGCGGTGGCTCGCCTCACGGAAAGTTTGGAGCAGGGGAGGAGTGAGGGGGAAGACCGAGGAGGCAGCAGCGACTCCGAGCAGCCTGGTCACAGAGGAGCTCAGGGTGTCTGTGCACCCCAGGATGCAGGAGGCTCACATACAAGCACTTAATGCTGACTTGCAGGAAGAGTGTGATTTCAAAAATGATTAGGAATAGTTAAGTCAACTTTATATCAGATTAGATGTATCTTGAGAGTAAAGTACAATATTGCATATTTCTTCCACTCAACCACCTCCACCTGCAGCTTCTTGAATTTATAATATAATGTATTGCAGAAGCTGTGATTGGAAATACTCGTGTGACCACAGAGACAATCAGTGGAATTGCTCATAGAATCTAGGCATTGCCCTGACCTATTTAAACTACTTTGATTTGTACTTATATGTGAAGGTGCTTGAGGCTTCCTCTACATTATCTTCTGAGCCATTTATGGCAAAATATCTTCAAAAAAATTTTTTAAACGGTCCATGTGGTAAGCTTAAAATAAAAGAAGAAAGAAGAAAAAAAGAACATTCTATACCCAAACTTGTCTGTGAGAACGGAGGCAGCCACACAGATACAAAACTTTATGGTAAAAATATCTGTTGACAGGTAGGAAAATTTAGTATTTTCCCAGGGCTGTGCAGTGAAACCAATTAGCAAGAGCAATGCGTCATCTAAGTCACTGACTTCAATTTAAAATACACTTGTACCAAAAACCTATAGGCACAGGCATGCACCTTCACTGATATTAAACTTCCAAGATCAGTGTTTTCACTTGTATCATTTCTAATGAATGTGATTTGCAAACCAAGGCTCAGCCTGTGTTCCTCTGCACTTCTATGTTACTATAATTATAAAGCCCTCTTTCCCTGTAAAATTCAGAAATTAATTTTAGAGACTACTAGTGAGTTGCTAAAACAAATCTGTCTTTGGTTTTCCAGATAAATCATCTTGGAATCACTTGGAAATTTCATGCTAAGTTTACTAAAATATATTTACTAAAACGTAGTTAACTATCACTGTAAAGCTGATCAAAAATATTAACAGCTTTGGGGCCATAGGAATGATCAGACTTTAAAAATATGAAGGGGGGGTCTTAAAATATTTTAAAAGTATTTTTTAAAGCTGTTAACTGGACTATTTTTAATTTGGAACTCGCCACAGAATTCTAATAAATGAGAGAAGTCAGGCGGAAATAATCATGTATTAATTCTCTGCATTACAAAATCTTTTCAGAAGCTATTATCAGAGCAAGAGGCATTGCAGTCTGAATTCAGGGTGGGAGAAATCCTTTGTGCGACTGAAGGCTATTGTTCGTCTGTGCAGATGAAATTGTACTTGCAAATCTGCCATTCAAGTAGCCAAAAAAAAAAGCCTATATGAGCAAAAGAAAGCAATCTCCAAGAAATAATTATTCTTAAATATAAACTTTAATGAAGATAAGTGGGGATATGGTGTTTTAAAAGAGGTTATTTGTGAAGCCTTTTCCTGGCATAGGCATAAAAGTAGGTGCACAAAAGGTTATACACTGTTTGCATCTTTAAGCACTCCTAGAACATCACTTTTGGGGAAATACTCTGTTTTAAGGTATCAGGGAAGATTTACGATATTTATGTTTAAAGTGGGAAAGGCACCCCCGTGTGCACTAATTTTCAGCAGAGCCTGATAAACAGAAAATCGTCTCCGGGAGGAGAGTGAGCGACTCTGAGAACACAGCGAAGTGGCTCGCCCCCAGCAGAAAGCCGGCTCCAGCCATCTTTCAGACTCACTGCCGGCATTTTATATGGCTCCCAAACTCAAACTCGGCCAATAAACTTGAAGCGCCGCTCCGGGCCCGCGCGGCTGGTGCACGTCCGCCCCGAGGCCGCCAGGACCCCGGCGCGCGCCCCCAGGGCCAGCGCGGCCTGAGTAGCCAGTGCTCTGGAGGGAGTTTCCCCTCCGCAGGAACCAGGCCCTTCTCAGGACTGGGGTCTGGCTCGCTCTCCTTCACGGAAGCTCAGAAGGCGCATCCTAAAGGCTCGTCCAGCGGCGCGGGTCAGGACCCCGCGGCGGCGCCACTGGGACCGTGGGTCGGGGCGCACGACCGTTTTCGGCCCCTCCCGCCCTGCAGGCCCGGGCTTTTCTCCCAGCTCCTGCCCAGTCCCCCCCCCCCTTCTTATTTACAAGATCCGCACGGAGGTCGGAAAGATCAGACCGCAGCGCCGGACACAAAGGGTCGAGGTTTCCTGGGAGCCGCCGGCATTCACAGCACTGAGGGGGTCCCCAAGCAGCCCCAGCCCGCTTCCCGCAGGGACAATGCCTCGTCCCAGTCTCCCCCGCCATAAAGCGCGCTGGCCGCGGGGCACGGATCGAGGTCCCCAACGACGCCGTCGAGCACCCCAGGATCCGGGGGAGCTGCTCAGGCCCCCTGCCTCACCTCGTCACCCCTCTCGGTAGCCAAGTGGGGTGTACTTGGCTGCGTGGGGGCCCTTCCTCCCGAGTTGGCAAAAAGAAATGAGCGTCTGTCTCCCGCCTGCATGCACACCTTCACCTCCCCGCACTTTTGCTCTTGCCTACATTCAGAGAAGGCCGCCTTGGCGAAGGCCACTTGGGCCCGCTGCACCCTTGACGCAGGCGGGGAGGCTCCTCAGTGCCGACCAGGGGCCACTGTCTGCGGACTTAGCTGGGCAAATGAACCCCAGAGCCCGAAGATGCGCTGGAGCAGAGGTCGGCCTGGGACGCAGGGAGGTGGGCAGGAGCAGGGCCATGCGCGGTGCTTCTGGCCACCCTCTGGCTGTGCGTTTAGGGGTGCAGTGGGCACTGGCGACTGTGACACAACCCCCCCCCCCCCCAGCCGTCCAGCTGGGAGCGCAGCGAGCTCTAGCACTGATGACACAAAAGGGCGGGAGTCTCTCTCCAGCTCTAAAAGGCCTGTTCTGCTGAGATTTCAACCCCTAACTTGGGGTCTGCCCGACTGTCCCCAACGAGGCCTCTCAAAATCCTCCAAGCAGGTCACAGTTCAAAACCATATAGACAATTAATGAAGGAAGGAAAGAAGTCCCACCTTCAAACAGCTCTGCAGCAGAAGTTTCTCTGGCGAACACGCGGCTGCCTCACCTGGGGGAGTGGGGGGGGTGGTGGCGGCGGCGCTGAGAAAGCGCAGGTTCCCTTTGGGGGAGGGGAGGTGGCCACTGCGAGGCGTTTCTCCTGCAGGCTGGGGGGTGGGGGTCAGAGGACCCTGCACTCTCACACACAGCCCCCCCCCGCCTCTCACACTGTCCTCCCTGGTGCCCATCCAGTGTCCTCTAACTGGGACACCCTGACAGTAGCGAGGCATGCTCCCGGATCAGAGTGAGGTGGGCGAAGAGAGCCCTAAAACGGGCTGGGAGGAAAATGGCCCCAAGATGGGTTCTCTCCACCCTTGCTGGTCATCCTGTCCTTCATCTTCTCCCACAACCCTCCCCATCTGTGCCCTCACCCCCCCCCGCCCCCTCTCTCTTGACAGTCTGAACTGCCCGGAGTGGCTGGCGATGCGACAGGCTCAGGGCGAAGTCCGAGAGGCAGCGGCCCCAGCCTCGCCACAGCAGTCTCCGCGGGGCGCTAGGGGGTGGGACAATTGCTACCCCCTCTCAATCTTTGCGCCCAGGAAGAGCTGCCACCAATCGGGTCACTTGGGGATGTCCACCCCTGGCCTACTTGGGGGATGACCTCCTACGCAGACCTCCCCAGCCATACAGAGCCTTTGACAGGCATCCTGCTGCGAGCCAGAGTTAGCCCCTGGACTGGGCTCTCCGACGCCCTGGTCGCCCATCCGAGTTCCCCCAGGCGTACCCTCCGCCCTTCCCAGGCTCCAGTTCCGCGCCCCATCGCCTACATGCGCTGGTTGATGCCCTCAGTGGGTCGGTCCCTCTTGATCCCTCCCGCCCCCAACCCAGCCCGTGTCCATTCTCCTACAACCCCACCAGTGCCCACGACCCCGGCCGGCGCCCCTGGTTACCTGCAGCGGGGCGAGCGCCGGGCACCCAAGCCGGAGGAGAGGGGGACGTGTGAGGGGCGGAGCGGCCTCGGGGCTCGGCGGCCGCGGGCAGCAGCGGCGCCATC